TCTGAATGCACTGAACATCCAAGGGAGATAAATTCAAGTGTCCCTTTCCAGCACATTTTTTAAAAGTTTTAAGGAATATTCCTTACTGGGCACGCAGAATCCTCAGCAATGGGTATATATGTTGTATTTGACATCTAAAGAAATATTTAAGTTAAGCTGAACATAGATACAGGGTTCAGCGACATTCAGAAGAAAAACGATTAGATTCCTTCAGGGGAAATAAAGGGTTCTACCACGTTCTGATCATAATTAAGGAATTAAAACTGAGTTAAAGCCGCAATGCAGACTGAATCAGAAAGGTCCTTTGTGCCAGCCGCCAAATGAATGGTTCGCAGGAGGGGGGGGCAAGCACGGTCCATCAATCCCAACATCTTAAGACACAGAGATAAGGGGCGCTACGGCGGGGTAAGGCCGGTAACGTGGCTGGCAGGTCCCTGGAAGTTAACCTCACTTCTTTTAGGCAGTTGGTGAGAACCTACACTGAAGCATGAGGCCATGAAACAAAGAAGTGTACCACTGTCTAAAGTAAAATTCGTTTTAGCGGCTGTTTACCTAACCTTGCAAAAGTATTACACTGTATTATTCATGATTTATTTCCTCAAATCAAACACTGGAAAAGACCTTAAAAATTATCAACTCAAACCCTCTAATCTTACAAAGAAGAAAACCAAGGTCTGCAACGGGCAAGTGACTTGCCCAAGGTCATACTGGTATAATCAGAAGCAGAGTCTGAGTTCAAACTCAGTATTTGTCTCCCCAACTTAAGAATTTCTTACGCTAGATGAAGATCTTTGTTTCCCCCTCCACACACATATGGATGTGTGTGTACATATGTGTGTATGTGTATAGATACACTGACATATCTACATAAACACTTGTTGCACCTGAAAAACCCAGGGCTGTTCAGAAATGCATTAAAAAAGCATACCAGTTAATTGAGTTAATTGAAAAAGACTAATCCCGCGGTGCCTGGGTGGCTCAGTCGTTAAGTGTCTGACTTCTGCTCGGGTCATGATCTCCTAGTTTATGAGTTCGAGCTCCGCGTCGGGCTCTTGGGCTGAGCACTCAGAGCCTGGAGCCTGTCTTGGATTCTGCGTCTCCATCTCTCTCTCTCCCCCTCCCCGACTCACGCTCTTCTCTCTCTCCCTCAAAAATAAATACACATTTAAAAATTTAAAGAAAAAAAGAAAACAGAAGACTAGTCCTGTGATAGGTAAGACATTCATGTTTTTTGAAAGACCCACTAAAACACCAAATCTCCACATTCAGGTTTATATTTATCTTAATACATAAGTTTTAGGAAACAGCGGTTAAGAGCACGTGCTCTAGAATAAGAGGACCTTTTGTAATCTCCTAATTGCAGCTCTGACATTTAATTAGTCATATAAGCATGAACAAATTTACTTAACCTAACAGCTTAACTTTTCTTACAGTGTCCTCACCTGTGAAACTGAAAAACAGAACTGACTCGATATGGCACTTTGTGAGGATTAAATATATGATGAATGTAAAGGGCTTTGCCCAGGACTTGGTTTACTCATTAATTTAGCTATTATCATTATTACTGCCTCCTAATTTCTGGGTTCCCTACAAAAGTACCCCAACAAAAGTCTTCTGTATATTTCTCTCTCTCACAAACACACACACAATCCCAATTATACATAATCCATTCTTTTGAACACAGAGTGCAGCACATTAAGAACCCTGTTCAAGAAAACTGCTTTTGTTTTTTTTTTTTTTTTTTGGAGATCAAACTCTTACCTCAAATTGATTTTTAAATGCCAAAAATGTCCAGTCCCTGTAATAAGAGTTTAGAATTTAAAAACACAGACTGTTTGGTCTTCTCACACTTTTCCATTCTTTCGAACAAAATGAGTTTGGCTGCCTAAATTGTACAAAGAGGAAACGCAACTGACTCAGAGAGAAAAACGAATCTCCCTGCTTCCTACTGAGCACCCTTTTGGTGTTCAGACACAAAGGACACTATCTCATGTATGGTGACAGTGAGAGCAAATTATTTCCAAGATTTATTGTGCATTTATATTTTAACTCTATTAGAGTCTGAAATTAACCCAATTATAAAAGGCCCTTTTCCCATATATATATATATATATATATATAATCATGCCTCAAATAAAGTATTTCCTCCTTCCCCACATTCCTTAAAATGCAGAGTTTATCGTAAGTGTGGCATACTAGGAGAGTATTAATAATTCTTTAAGCCAAAGAAATGACCTTATGAGCTGTTTTATTTCCTAAAACTTAATAATTTAAGAAGCTAACGCCATGTGTTCACATTCTATGATGCTTGCTGCAAGACTGAAACGATTCATTCACATGTGTTCCTCTTCTAGTCAAATAGGTCTAAACAAAACCCACTTCACCGTACATCTCGGGATTCTCTTTGAAGGTGTTCTTGCCTGGGTTCCTAGAGTACTCTGAAATTTCAGTTACAGAGTGTATAATTTAATTTGAAAGTAAATCAATACTAGAAACAAATTATTTCGTCATCATCTTTTTACAAAAGATTAAACAGCCACAAATTTTATTTCACCAGGGCTAAAATGCGTTAAATTACATTTCACTGACATAAGATCAAAAGAACCTCATAAATACAATGCTGTATTTCACCCGAGTGACGTTATGAGAAGCCAAACCAAAAATATTCCCTCTGGAAAACAAAAACTGTCTTAAGTAACCTTAAAACTCTCTTGACATTTGATCTTTTTAAAAATTTCTGAAAGTTCATCCTATAAACAAAATCATTAAAGACTGCTGGAAAACAAGCCCAAAGAATGATCAGGTTATTTTTTTTTTCAAAAATGCAGGTTATTTTTTTTCCAAAAGTACATCCAAAATGTACTTTTCAGCTATCACAAAAGCTCTAAGAAATGTTTAGATACTGTACACGTAGCTATTTTTAAATTGTATTAATTCTTCTAAAATTATCTTTAGCCTAAATCAAAACCTAACTATGAGATATAAAATGTGGTTAAAAGTACCTCCTGCCACTAAACAATATCATAGTTTTTAAATAAAATATAAAACTAAGGTTAATAATTATATTTTATTAGCTTAAATCAGTAATTTATGAAAGTAGAACTGGCTTCTCTCAGAGAGATTAAACATAATGTAAAGTCACCAGAATTTTATAAAGCAGATGACAGACTGGTCAAATGTACTACTATGTGTAATCTCATGGGACTGGGAATTTTCTGAATATGCCCCAAATTACATAATGTTGGGGGAAAGAGAGATGGTTTAAGGCTTCTAAAAATACTACAGGAGAAAGATCATTTTTAAAGTATAGTATTAAAATAATACTTTGATGAAAAACATAAGCAGAGTCAACAGTAGGAATCTCCGGATGCAGATTTCTCAAATGTCACCAGATTATCCCTTCCACTAAGAAGTACTTTTAAATACATGCAGCACACAAAGTATCAAGTTTTCAAATCCCTCCCTTTTCCAGATACCTGTACTGCTTTAACTGCTGCATCTAAGCACTGAAATGCACATGCCAAATTAATTAGAATCACTATCTTCCTCTAAGAGTCCCTTTTAAGTTATTTTAGAAAGATACCTCAGGAAAGCTAAGAAAAATGTTTAATAAACATACACTTCCTTTTCCAATATCCAGAATATTAAAGTATTTATAAATATGGCTCCCCCCAACCTCAGCTTTATGAACGGTTCCATTTTTTTCAGGGCTAATATAGTTCTCAATATACCCTCTTACCTAATTTGGGAAAGAAAAAAAGAAAGCAATTCTTTTAAACACGTTAAAACAGCCGCAGCTAACAAATTAACAGTGATATTCAAGTAGAGCTACTCTGTTTCTACTGCAATCTAGAGATTATATAATAAACTCTGACATGATCTTTCCCGCAATTTTCTACAGTGTCAAAGGCAACAGACAACATCCACGTAACGTTTTTACAAGAGGGAGACAAGGAGTTAATGAACTAGATTCCCCCTCAACTAAGAATCGCCTTCTCTTTTGTCAATATTACACGACATTCATCTACTGACAAAGGAAAAATGAACACTTCACTTGCCTGTTTAAGAAACTAAATTGGGAGCATTACCAGCCACGGACTTAATTAAGTTATTTCTAGGGGGAAATATTTAAAGCAAAGGGGCTATTTACAGTTTATTGCCCAACAGCTAAATTTGGGGGGAACAGGCCTGAACACGAGAGCCCCTCTTAGCCCCTTGCCTTTTTCCCCACCACCCAACCTGCACCAAACCCCCATTGTTCTATGTAAAACTCACAGGTTAATGGCATCGAAATAACAATTGCTGCGTTTAGGTTACCCACGATCACCGTGAAGAACTCTTCAGCATCCCATTTCCTCGCTGCTTCGCTTTCTCCCAAATAAAATCCCAATTTGGCAATAAATCAATCACAAACTGGTGGAGGAAAGGATCGCAGCCTCCCTTCCAGACTGATGGATGTCACTCCAGAGGCGGGTAAGGAAATCCCCCCAGAAGGTTCCCATAATAAACCGAACCCCCCCCCCGAAAATCATTTAAACTGACGTTTTACTACGATTTTTTTTTTTTAAGTCCGGACCCCAAACCCTCGAAAAGTCCACAGCCCACGGAGCGGAGGCCCCCGAAGTAGATAGAGCGCACAGGCGGGGCTGCGCGCGGGGCTGGGTCCCAGGCCGGGCGGGCAGGGCCGGAGTCGGGCGTCGCGGCAGGGGAGCCGCCCGCGCCCCGCGCCCCGCGCCCCGCGCCCCGCGCCCCGCGCCCCGCGCCCCGCGCCCCGCGCCCCGCGCCCCGCGCCCCGCGCCCCTGCGCGCTACCTGCCGCGGCCTGGGGAGCGCCGCCCCGCCGGACCCCGGCGCCCACGCGCACACTCACCCATCCTTCCTCTTGGCTTTGTAGACGTGACCGTAAGTGCCTCGGCCAACTTTGCAGCCCTCGTATTCAAACAGGTCCTCGACCCGCTCCCGCTCGCTGCTCAGCTTCACTTTAAAGTCATAGTCCATTGTCACAGCCTCCGGGGCCGGGGAGCTGGGGCGGGGGGCCGGGGGGACAGGGGTGGGGACCGGGGAGGCGCCGGCAGCCGCAGCCCCCGGGAACCCGCCCGCGCTACGCCCGGCGGCCGCAGCACCAGCCCGACCGATGCGGCAAGAGCAGGAGGCCCCGCGAGAGCGCCGGGGACATCCAGGGGGGCGGCGGGGCAGGGGCCGGCCGAGGGGGTGGGGGGCCGGGGAGGTTCCCCCGGGCGGGGGAGCGCGGAGGGACGCGGGCGGGGGGTGGGGAGCGGCGTCTCTGCCCTTGTCCCCGCGGGCTCCCGGGGCGCCGGCTCCGCCGCCCTCTCCTGCCGCGCGTTCTGCCCCCGCTGCGGGGAGCGGCGGGGCGGCCGCGGCGGGCTCTCCCCCTCTTACACTCGCACTCACGCCTCGCCCTCTCGCTCACACACGCTCACACTCACTCACTCACTCTCTCTCCCATACACTCAAACAGAAAGGCAGCGCCGCACAACAGCCGGTACCTCCTCAGAGAGAGGAGGAGGGAGGGAGCCCGCGGAACACGGCCACAGCTGTCGCAAAAACGTCGCGAAGGCTCGGGCTGCCTCCGGGCCTCCCTGCGGCCGGCTCCGCGGCGCCCGGCCGGCCCCGCCGGGGCCCGCACCTCGAGGACTCGGGGGAGGAAGCAGGGTGGCCGCGGCCCGAAGCTGCCGCCCGACGCACCACGTGGATTGTCCTGACGGCGGCCAGCGAGCCAGACTACAATGCCCAGAATGCACAGGCCGTCGCCGTTGCCGCCCCTTCTACGGCTCCACCCCCCGCAGCGGTCGTGCGGGAGCGTTGCATCATGGGATTCGTAGTCCAACGAGAGGTGAGTTTCAGTCGCTTAGAGGGAATTTCTTTTCCTTTTTCTTTTTTCTTTTCTCTCTCTCTCTCTCTCTTTTTTTTTTTTTTTTTTTTACAGCAATATCGCTAGAGTGTGATTTGGACCGTAAACTTAGCCAGAGAAATGTATGTGCGAGGGACGCTGGTTTGCGATTGGAATCACATTTTGCGCCACTTCCGAACTCCAGATGTTAAAGGGCATTATCAGTATCGGAAACAGTCTATATATTTGCAAACAGCTCATAGACTTGGTGTCTTCCTGTCGTTCCCAATCTGATAAGGGCTGCACAACGACATCAACATATTGCCCCGCATTACAAGCATCAGTAAAAAATGAGTCAATGACGAGTGGCCATGCTGTTCCTGAATAGTTTTACTAGTGAGAAAGTGCATGCTTCCTTCCCATGCATTTAGAGGGGACATTATGTTGAGTGTGGCCTTCTGCACCTCTGCCTGTAAGAACAGCACAGTTTAGCCGTGATTACAACAATGGATCTAGATGCATTGAACTAATGTGTTGATAATTTTAAGGTAGGTAAGTTGCCAGCTGAAAGAGTCCCAATATCTTGATAACAGTCTCTCATTTTCTCCAATCTTCTTGTTTAGATGTGTACTTTTATTTTTTATTAATTGTAGATTTGTGTTTATTTTACATTTTCCAGTTGCTACAATTTCCACTAAAGCTTCCCACTCTCCAAAGGGCATATAATCTCCCACATTCAAACCCCCATAACCCTTTTTTTTTCTCACCTTTCTTGTGGTAGTCATCAAATTATGTTTTATTTTTCTTTTGCTATATTATAAATCCCTATGGGAAGTCATATTTGCATCTTCCATTAATACCTAGTAACATGCTTTGAGTATGGTGTGCAGTAAACTTTTGTTGAATTAATGAGTAGCCATGTTTATGTTAAAAATATCCATGTACAAGGACGCCTGGGTGGCTCAGTCAGTTGAGCATCTGACTTTGCCTCAGGTCATGACCTCATGGCTGTGGGTTTGAGCCCTGCATTGGGCTCTGTGCTGACAACTCAGAGCCTGGAGCCTCCTTTGGATTCTGTGTGTGTGCGCCCCTCTATCTCTGCCCCTCCTCTGCTCACACTCTATCTCTCTCTGTGTCTCAAAAAATAAATGAATGAACGAATGAACCAATGAATGAAATAAAACATTTTTTAAAAAGTTTTTTAAAATCCACGTATACATGATGGCAGTGATACTGTTTTATGAAAAATCCTCAGAGAAGCTCTTCTCTTACTTAAATTTCTTTGGAGAAAATTGTGACTTCACTACCAGTTAAATTGAAGTTGTTTTTACATATCATTTAATGTTTAAGTACACTAACTGGTTAGGTGAGCCTAGGTTTGCATCCTGCTCAGCTGTTTATTAGTGGTGTGCCCTTGAATCATCAGTCTCTTTCTCTGTGAAATGGAGCTATAAAAGGCCCTAACTTAGAGGATGTTACATGTTCTATTCCATGATATAAATTGGGTGGTTCCCAGCAAGACTGTTCCTTTGCAGAGTTAAAGAATTAAATGTTTTTCCCGGATACGGATTTAGAATAGAGTCTTCCAGAAAAAATAGATTTGTATCTCTTGAGGGATGTGCCTTTTTGTCCAGGTATTGACTCATCGATCTTGAGAAACCAAACCACGACAATGAAGGAAGCATGGGATTGGACTTGGCTCTACGCTGTGGGTGCCCCCACCCATCTCCTGCATCGATTGCTTTCATACGCTTGTCCAAACACTGACGGTCCCAGACTTCTTAAAATGTACTTCTGACAACTGTTTTGACTCGATCCACCCTATGGATGAAGAGACTGAATTTTTTTTAAATAAAAATTGTATAGTTTTAAGATGTACAACACAGTGAAATGATTACTGTAGTCAAGCTCATTGACAGCATTCTTACTATCAGTAATCGTGCAGCGGAAAAGGAAGCCAGCTTGGGACTCGAGCAGAGAAAGGCCTGCTTCTCTCTCCAAAGCTAGGGTGAAAGTTAGGGGTCCAGACTGAACTCCAGGTTGGAAGAAGATGGTGATGTGAGGTAAGCAGACCCCCTGAAGGCAGCATCAGGCTGGAGAGCTAAGGAAGAGACAGACACTAGTGCCTTTTTTGGGGAGGTTGGCTAATGTGTTAGGAGCAGTAACATCTAATATCCAGTTTTAGGTTTTTCCTTTCTATGTGGTATTTCCCTTCTATTATCACCAGTCTATCCAGCCAGGCCTTACTCCCGTCCGTGCTTGGAGGAAAGGAAAGGGCAGCGGCCTGAGACTCCATTATGAAAAATAGGAAGTGACCAAAGCAATGAGCTAGGAAGAACCTGGCACATGTTAGGATTCCAGAAACTTGTAAGAATACAATCTGTTTTTAGAATGGATTTCTTGTGGATCAAAGGATGAGGGTTCGTACTTAATTGTCACTTAACTGAATTGAACATATCAAGAGCATGGAGCTGTTGTTTCCATTTCATTTTCAATTTCAGGTTACACTGATATCACACGTCTCCAGACTGTCACTGGAGGTCATGATGTAGCAGAGTCTATGACCTTCATTGGTCCATGTTCCAAACAATGTGCAAATAATGCTCATGCTTTCCATAAATGTGGTTTTATTTACATCCTAAATTTAACATCTCTTGTCTTAACACGTCTCCCCCCTACACCAGCCCCACATTTCAGCTGCCTCCTGTTCAGCCTGGGGGGATATTCTGCTGTCATCTCAAACTTAAAATGTCTGAAAATGATCATACTGTGCCCTGAACCTCCCAACTGCAGTGAACATCAATGCCAGTAGACAGACATTCTGTTGTGTTACTGCCAATGCTACGAGTTCAGGCCTTCATTAGCTGCACATTGTCCTTGGTACTGATGCCAAATGTGCCTTTGTCTGGCCTGTTCTCAAAGGCTGGATGCTTCCTCATACCATCTCTGACCTCTGCAGCCCTACCCATCCTCCAAGGCACAGCTTAGTCATGAAACTTTCCCTGGTCCTTACACCTGAAAATAACCTTTTGTTGTCATTGTTGTTTGGGTTCGGTTTGGTTTTTGTTTTGTCTTTCCGTCAACTCCTGCCCTACCCCTGGCACCATTATACTCTATTTGTAACTCGGGTAGAAACACCACAGCAACTTTGTATTTTAATCATTTATGTACTTAAAAAATCTGTCCTTTAATAAACACCTTAATGACTCACTCTCTGACTTATTCATCTCTGTGTCTCCTAAAGTGCCTGGAACATAATTTGCATAATGGTATTTAATTAGAATGTGTTTTATTGGATTGATTTCTCTAAAGGTTCAAATGGACCTTACTGTGGGGGAGGGGCAGTCATTTTAAAACATTTGATATCTTGCCTCAGTCTTACCTCTGACCGCGTATTTTTTTTTGTAGTGTGCAAAAGAATTTAGTGCTATGTGTATCATGATGTATTAATAGAAAAGCTCAAGTGAGTCTTCTTGGAACTGATCACTTCTAGTCTCTACAACTTTTAATTGTTTTCTCACTTAATATTAAAGTGCGCTTCAAACAGAAAATATCCAACGTTCCATTCTGCAGGTGGAACGTTCATCATCTTTATCATCGAGAGCACATATTAAATATCTACAGTCGAGTCGTGTTAGACACAAGAAAGAACAAGGTAGATCAATCAACACTCTAGCCTTTCAAAATTTTTCAAAGAAAATATTAATGCAAAATTTCTCAATTAACTCTATACACATCCCGAATATAAAACCTGGAAACAACCAGAACCAAAAATCACTTTCAAAAATAACTTCCTTTCTCCCCTGCATCATGTGAATGTCATTTGTTCCTATAGACTCATCTCCACACGCCTGGAAATGTGACCACTACCAGTTGCTGAGTTTTGTATCAGACATCTGTCATTAGAGAAGAACTGACTGTGTTTCTCAACTCCAGTTCTAAAAATCACAGCTTGGGGCCCATCCTAGACCAATGAAGTGTTACCCCTGGGGGCAGTATCATATAAGAATATGAGAGCTCCTTCATTCAGAGGGCTGAAGAAGAAGGGAGTGGAGAGCTCACAGGAGAAGGGAGAAAGCTCTGAGTTCCAGGAAGTATAGAAAGCAAAGCAATGTGATGGAGAGTAAGCCCAGAGGAGATTACTTCAGATTAGGTGGATGGTCAAGGGTTCTCTGAAGTGATGCTTAAGTGAGACCTGAATGATGAGGAGAAAAACCTGCTAGGATGAGATCCAGGTAGTTCAGGTGGATGGACGGTGTACAGCAAGTGCAAAGGCTTTAAGCTGGGAAAGAAGTCGTATGTGAAAGGAATGTCATGAGTGAGGGTGTGGGGCATTGTGTGAAGATGAAGGCAAAGAGGCAAAGAGGTAGGCAGGGACCAGATCATACAGGGCCTCTTAAGACCATAGACAGGGGCCTGGATTTTATTTTTAGGGCAGTAGAAAGCCACTGGAAAGTTGTAAGGAAGGGAGTGGCCAGATGTGATCTATACTTTAAAAAGAATATCTGGGCTGCTATGTTTAACAATGGATTCCAGGAGCCGAGATTGAAGGACAGACAAGTAGGTAGGGGAGGTGCTGCTCAGTTGGATGGGAAGTAAGGAAAAGCAAGGAATCAAGGTGACTCCTGAAGATCATGCCAGTTACTGAGATGGGAAAGACTTTGAGAGGCATAAGTTTAGGCTAAAGCAAGACACAAGACCGGCCCAGACTCAAAGAGTGGGCAAGTAGCCTCCACTTCTCAGTAGTAGGAAGCATTAAATATTGTGGCCATGCTTGGCAGTTCTTTCTTTTATCGATATGTATGAATCTGGGGATTTGGTGAAAGTTGAAGCAGTTCCTTTTCAAATAGCTTTGGTTTTCTCGAGAAGGCACAGGAAAAGGGTGCCCCTGTGAGTGAGGTGACCTGAGTGGAGGGTGAAAGCAGCGGTATCTGTTCATGTCTAAAAAGACTACAGGTTTAACACAAGCTTTGGGCGGAATGGGAGAGAGGCTGGCAGGGACTTCTAGCCAATGTCACGGGTCCATTTGCAGGCGCAGCCATGCATTTATATCAATATCCATCTGCCCTGTTGTGAGATTTTCATCACCAGCACTCAACAGCCCAGGTGGAGGCCTGGCAAAGACAGATGTTAGATTCATCCAGGGTTAGAGCCTCGCCAGCTGGGTTTAATGAAAAGAAGATGAGGCGACAGAGGTTGGAATTATTGGCAATAGAGTAGTTAAAATGACAGACCATGACATTTAAGCTGGGGAAGGAGGAAGATGAGAACAGGATTTCTCCTTTTATAGCCTCGCCCTAGCGTGAAAATTTTTAACTTAATTTTTTGTCGGATAATCTAAAAACTAAATACCCTCATTCCTTGCTTCTTTAATATACATGTATAGTAGCTAGATCAGACAGCTGAAGTAATAGGAATACCAGATTAAAAATGATTTCTTCTTTCTTAGCTAATAGATTCCTATTACGGTTATTGATAAGGGCAGCCCAAACTGAAAATCTCCCACATTTGTTGATGATGAATTCTGCTCTTATGTTCTATAAGCATTAAGGAAATGTTACCTCTTCAAAACGATAAACAGTATCATACTCTGGTCCTTGTTTCTTCTCTCTGGTCCTTGTTTCTTCTCTCGGACCCCTTTCCTCTTGGAATAAGCATATTACTTCCTGTTTTTCAGTTCAAAATGCATTTTGCTACACAACAGTGTAGCAAGTAACCTAAAGGAACACAGTTTGATTTTATGTTCAGTTTTTCAAGGCTTAAATCACAGTTCTGGCTTCTCACTCCAATATGCTTCCCCCTTTAGCTGGCTGGACTGCTACTCAGGCCCAATCACCAGAAAAGCCAAGTTTTTCCGGCTGGTTCCTGTACAGACATGATCTCCTGTGAACTGCATAGCTCCCTTTCTCACACGTAAGCGTGGTGAGGTCACCTCTGCCACCACTTGATACCTGACACCCAAGGCTATTCGTTTCCCTGCAACTTCACGCTCAGAACCTCTGGCACTTTTTCTCTGCTGGTAGCCCGTCCCCTTACCAGCCAAGGTCAAGTTCGTCAGATACTGTCCTGCTTGCTCAAAAACTCTACATCCTTTGTAAATCTTAAAATGTTGTTTTATTCACATCATTCTTGTGTTCAAAAATCAAAGACCCTGTGCCGCCTTGCATTGCCTACAGCGTGAAGTTCAAACTCCTTCACCTCATATTCCAGACTCTGTGTTTGCTTTTGCCTCACTTACGAAAATGCTTGAAGGCAGCTTGCGATAGAAAAGTTAGAATGAGATTAAAATAACTAGCTCCACGCAGCTAAAATTTCTACAAGCTGAGCTCTATTGAATCTCCAGCGGAGCTCTCTAGTCAGTTCCTCAGAAGCTGCTTCCTGGCCAATTTAAAACAGTAGTTCTCGGGGGCGCCTGGGTGGCTCAGTCGGTTAAGTGTCCAACTTGGGCTCAGGTCATGATCTCACAGTCCGTGGGTTCGAGCCCCGCGTCGGCCTCTGTGCTGACAGCTCGGAGCCTGGAGCCTGCTTCAGATTCTGTGTCTCCCTCTCTCTCTGACCCTCCCCTGCTCATGCTGTCTCTCTCTCTCTCTCTCTCAAAAATAAATAAAACATTAAAAAAAAACAACAACAGTAGTTCTCAGCCTTGGGTGGCCGCTGGAAATACCTGAGGAGTCTCCCCAGCAATTCTGATGTAATTGATCTGGGCTACAGCTGGGCATTGGGACTTTTAAAGCTCCCTGGTGATTCTAATGAGCGTTCAAGGTTGAGAACCACCACATTAGAATAGTTTATTGATTCTCCCTAAAACATTCATCATTCTACTCCTTTCCTCATCAACACCCCCCCGCTTTGTTTTCTTTACTTGTCTAACTAAACCCTACCCGCTCTGTGAGATCCAACTCAGGTACCACTGGCATCTTTCCTTGACACCCAAAGCCAATACACTCCTAGCAAGTACCTTGTTTACACTTACTTGGCATTTAGCATGTACTTCTTTTTGTGTATTTTTCCTGTGTGTTCAGAAGAATTCAGAGGTGTAAAAGGACAGGACTGCTTTTGATCCCTAGGACATGGCACAATGCCTTTTATACTGATACCATCGTGTGTTTTATGGGAAGTGGTGATGATGATGTTGCCGTGGCAGATGCCAAGTCAAGCAGATAACCATCTCCTTTCAGAGCACTGACTTCGGGCTGCATGTGGGGCTACCTGTAGGCTCCTGGAGCCCACCTTGCTTTCACATGCAAAGCTGAAGTACCTGGAAATGAAGCCACCCCTGCCTTCACTTAATAACTATAGGTACAAGTATGAATACTCCAGCCCTCTGATGGGGACAACACGGGGTGACCTAGACTGTGTCCTGTGCCCTCAAAGTTGACATTGCATCCCTTACTTAAGCTCCTTCCTTCCCACTTCCACCCCCCCCCCCCGCCATTCCCTTACTGGTTTTTCCAAGGAACACTTCTTAAATAAAGTCTTTTTAAATGAACCCTTGTCTAAGTCTAAGGTTTTGCCTTTCTGCAGGGGGAGGGGAAGGATCGCCAACCGCAGACAGACAATAATATAACAGAAATAGGTATTACTGGAGTCCCTGGGTGGCTCAGTCGGTTAAGCGTCCCTTGATTTTGGCTCAGGTCATGATCTCACAGTTCTAGGGTTCCAGCCCTGCATTGGGCTGAGATCTGCACTAACAGTGCACCTGGAGCCTGCCTGGAATTCTCTCTCCTCTCTCTCTGCCCCTCCCCTCAAAAATAATTAAATAAACTTGATGGGGCGCCTGGGTGGCTCGGTCGGTTCAGCGTCCGACTTCGGCTCAGGTTATTATCTCACAGTTTGTGGGTTCGAGCCCCGCATCGGGCTCTGTGCTGACAGCTCAGAGCCTGGAGCCTGTTTCAGATTCTGCATCTCCCTCTCTCTGACCCTCCCCTGCTCACTCTGTCTCTCTCTCTTTCTCTCAGAAATAAATAAAACATTAAAAAAAATTTAAATAATTAAATAAAGTTGAGAAAGTAAAAAAGGAAATAGCTATTATTTACTGAATATTTTCTATGTGCAAAGAATTAACTCACTTAATCCTCAGAATTAGGTAGGTCCTATGGTTGTCATTTTACAGATTAGGACACGGAGACTTATAGAGA